TGCTCGCAGCATTGATAATTTATTGATCCCGTTTAACGCAACATGAAGCATCCGCAACTGTACTTTAAATAATTCAATTTCAGACTCCGTCACAGGATTTCCCACCAAACAATTGTTGTCGTTGCGTGCTCGTATCACAATCAATTCGTGGTGAGCGTTGACGATCACGCGTTTGTAATCTTCGCAAAAACCCAACAGCATGCTGAGCAGCACGCAAAAATTAAAGTGTCCTTCCTCCATGTCGGATCTAGTGTTCCATCTAGCGTTGAGCGCAATCAAAGACTTATCGTATGTCCGCGACACGTAATTCTTGAGCGTGCTAGTTATGCCTACGTTCCTGCTGCGGTCCGTCTCCACACCGTTGAGTTCATATCGAATTTCATCAAACATGAACGCCACGCAATTATTTACAAGCGTCGTTGGCATCTGATCGTTTTTTTTCACCGTCAATTTTCCTTCGACGTAGAGAAAACTTTCGCATGGCAACGTGTACAAATCCTGTTGCTGTATGGATATTCTTATTTCGTCGTTTTATCCGAACGTTGTATTGGCGAACGGATTGTACGTGTGAGTCTCGATCTTGACGATGCGATCGTCAAAAGTCGGCTCACCGGTAATATTCAAGATATCAATTATGATCTCAAAAGTTGCGCACCGCGAATCCCAAAGATTGTAAAAATTTAACGTTCGACGCGCTAAGCTTCTTCTTGCTGATGCAGCCGGATGAGCGAGTGTTATCGAGCTGTGACGTCACCGGCCTTGTAAAGTATTCGTTATTTCTCTGCGTGCGCTCCGCTTCGTTCAATAGCATCTCACGCTCACGTTATCGCTGCCGCTGTCGCACGTGCAATCTGACGGTGATCTCCTCTCCGCGAAAATCGAGCAATCGTCCGTTCTGGTCGACGACGCGTATTCTTAGATCCGTAATGCTCCGTGCCGTGATGGGCAAGTAAATGATCTGTGCGGGCCTTTCCGATATCTTATATCCCGGTGGTACGCTCGGCGAAAATTCGTGTATCATGTGTGCACCTTTGCCGTTGCTGTATGCACCCGCGGTCACGTTGCACTCTACGCGGATAACGTTTACGTTCATTATATTGATCGACACATCCGATTCCACATGTCGTTCAACGTGATTGATGGACGTGTCCGATTCGTGCCATCTTCACGATCGCAGTATACGCTTCGACGAGAATCCCAGCAGCGATCCAATGCTGATGGGCTTGCCAAAGTTTATTCTATAGGCGCATCTAATCTCGCATCTCATCGTGTTGTAGTTTGCACCGATTGTTATAGGAAATTCCGAACCCTCGCCATCGTCATCATCGGTGTTATAGTTGCTATTGTTGCTATTGTCACCACGCACTGTGTCAACGGTTTTAAGCGCGTCGCGGAGCGAACGTAAAATTGCACGTTTCAAAAATTCATTTATGTCTCGTACTTCTTACGAACCTTCGGGAATTGTAATTTCTGCGTCGTCTTTGTCGAAATAAAATTTATTGTTTTATTCGTTTAAGTTCGGTATCGTGTGATAAGTCTTAAAAATCATCAGGCCGAGCTCGTAATCATCATCACTCAAATCTATGGCGGGGAAGTCGTTCGCCGCGAGGAGGCTACTCTTCCCGCTCAGTGTAAGTGTCAACGACATGACGGAAAAAGCGTTCGACCAATACTGATATTTCACGGCACCTCGTCGAGCTTTCTAAAATTGACGAGCGTCGACCGTTCGTAGAAACCACAGACACATCTGTCCGCAGAAGCTCTGATCGTACGTCTGATAGGACGTGCGATTGTACTTTATCGTAACACCGATCCCGAAATATTGCAACAGTTCCTTTGCTCGAAGATTACAAAAACTGTCAAAGTACGCGACGCGGTTGTTCCTCTTCGCGTATACTACCCAGTGAGTACTGGGTCCCGTCGCATCGTCCAGATTCACGATACCGCTTTCGTTTCGACGCGCGCCGCTCGACGGCAACGCGTTACGCATGAAAACAATTCTAAAGTACGGTACGGTCATACGTCTCGAAAGCACGTCCAATTGCACGTTGGTAGTTGCACTCGAGGGCATTTTTATCGTCTCTTTGGCGTTTTTTTTTTCTTTACTGCTATACCCTCTCCGCGTCCGTATTTGTGCGGAGCGAGATACAGTCCGCGGCCCTGTTCCATCGCGCGATCGTGACGTTGCAGCTCCTCGAGCTGACGTTGCGCGGCTTTGCTATCGTTTACCGCTTTCGCCACACTGGCCGCTCCTCCAATCAAGGACCCGAGCGCGCCCAACACTGGTAAAAACGGTAACGCACCACCTCGTTTCGCTGTCGGTAATATCCGTTTTTTCATTGTCCTTTTCCTCGTCGTCTTCTTCTTCAGTTTCATGCCCATGCCGATCTTGGTCTTGGTTTTCATTGCTGCCCAAACGGCAATAGTGGCGGCTCTCTTGCTCAGAGCCGAATCTCTTGTGGTGACGTGTCCTAACGCTTTATCGGCGAGTACCTTGTTCGCATGTCTATCGATGAGATCGTTGTTCCGAGAATACGCAATGTCGTGTTCTCGACACGCTGCGTCCAGCGGATTTATACCCATATCACCTCTGGCTAATCGCTTTGTAAGTAGAGTGCCCGGACCGCAAAACTGGTAGCCCGGGATATGTAACACGAAAGGAAGCACGTTTATTGCTCGATTCAACATACTGCGACCCGACACTGACATTCGCTACAGTCCTTTATCTTCGGTGCTGGACCGTCGATGTGCGTCCGCTGCCACGGCTGATTGTAGTGCTCGTCGCAGCGACGATACGTTCGAAACTCCGAATCCGCCTTCACGTGTCCCCGAAGCTTATCCCACACGTAGTCGATGCATTCACCGTACACTCGTAACAATATGACCTTCGGTATATACTGCAACTGCTCGGCGCTCAAATCCGGAAAGTCGGAAGGAAGATACAGCGTGAGATACATTTTGTTACTGCGCGACTCGCGGATTCGCGCGCCTTTAAATAGGCAATCGAGAGCGCACAGCCCGTAGTGCGAGCATGAAATTCGTGCTGCAACCGCTGGCGATACGCGTCACGAACTGCGACGCGAAATCGCGAATAATGGATAGCGGCATGGAGAAGCGCAAGCACGGCGAAATGCTGCCGAGTACTATACGCGCGATCATTTGCGGCCCGTCGAATTGCGGTAAAACCAATGTTCTCGTAAGTTTACTCGAGATTCCGAACGGCGTACGTTTCGAGAACGTGTACGTCTACTCGAAATCGCTGCAACAACCGAAGTATCAATATCTCGAAAATTTGTTTACATCTATCGACGAAATCGGTTACTTTACGTTCTCCAACAACAGTGACGTCGTTCCACCGAGCGAGGCGCGTCCAAATTCCATTTTTATCTTCGATAATATGGCATGCGACAAGCAGGATGCGATGAGAGAATACTTTTCGATGGGCCGTCACGCGAACGTCGACTGTTTCTATCTCTGTCAGACGTATGCGAGGATACCTAAACATCTGATACCCGACAACGCGAACCTGCTGATCCTATTCAAACAGGACGGTACCAACTTGAAACACGTTTACAACGATCATGTGAATACCGACATGTCGTATGACGAATTTTACACGTTGTATCGCGACTGTTGGCAACAAAAATATGGTAGTGATAGACAAAGACAGTGCGCTCACAAATGGATACAGAAAAGGATTTAACGAGTTCGCTATACCGTAACGTGACAAGTCGTTATCGATACTTAGCCACAGACGAAGATGGCAGATGTGCGCGAGCGTGAAAAAACATCAGGGAGATCGAGAAGACGGGCGAATTGTTTCGCAAGAAACATCGCGTTCTGAAAACTGGTAGAATCGAGGAGAGCATCGCCATGTTGGACAGACATTTTAAACCTCTTATCGAACCGCTGCGACTTTTCGTTGACAATCCCGGCGAACGTGCGATAAAGAGAGCGTCACGCGACGAAGATGCAGCGTCTGCCCTTAAACGTAAGAGGAAGAAGGAGGAGGAACAAGAGGAGGTAGAAGAAGCGAGCGAGACGTTCGAACCTTCCGCGACTCTGCATAAATCCAATGATCGATCGCGCGAATCGATAACCTCCACCCCGCGTGCCAAAATCGTACCGACGATATAGTCGTTGGAGAACGTTTTCGAAACGACATAAGACTCGCTAGCGACGAAGGTTCAAAATCAGCTGCAAATGTCGGAAGGTCGAGAGGCGTTGCGAGCCAGCTTGGGCCCGCTGGGTCAAAAATACGTCGAGGCTGTCCTGCGGGGAGCGCAAGATAAAAAGAGCGGTATAGATCACGTGTACGGCGTTTACCTACACAAGGATGGATTAATGTTTGGCAATAAACGTTTCGACGTGGATGACGCAGACAACATAATTATCGATGGCGTACGATATGCCGTTACCCCGGTCTTTACGAGTTGATTTTCAAGAGAATTCCCGACGATGCCCTCTACACGGAAGACGATATGCACAATTACAAGAGCATGCTGTTGGTCACGAGCGCGCACAAGCACAAGCATCATTCTCAGGATCGAGTATTGAGCAACAGGGCATACAAGTACAAACACATAATCGCGCCGACGATGTTGGTCACACCTAAGAAACGGAGTAAAATATTTGGAAAGGGATTTCCTTGCACAATGACGTTGAACGACAACGCGATCGATTACATGCACTGGGACGATCCCAACGAGCTAGTGGATCGTCTATGATTGCTCGACGCTTCGCACCGAGCAGGGAACAACGTTTACGGCAACAAGATGCAGTCGATCATCGAGGAACTCCGCGAAGCCGGTCTTATTATAAATTAAATCTTGTGTCGATGAAACGAGTCAGTCGAGTGACATCAGCGAGAAAAATACATTACTTTCTTCTGTATTACGCGACGAATCATGAAAAAGAGATCCGATGAAAAGAGAAAAGTTAACTCCGGTAGACGTTGACTCGTCGAGGAATTGCACGCTCCGGCGAAAAGAAATTTTCCGCTAAGGCGCGTCGTAGTCCGGGGATATGCTGATCTGTTGCAGGCTGACATCGTCGAGATGCATCCATACTCGCGTTTCAACAGAGGTCATCACTACATACTGACTGTCATCGATATGTTGAGCAAGTATGCATGGGCCATACCGCTCAAGAGTAAAGGTGGAAGCGAGACGGCTGAAGCTATCGGTGAGATAATTCGAAAGAGCAAGTGATGTCCAAAAAACCTACAGACCGATATGGGGAAATAATTTTACAACGTTGATGTGCAACGGCTCTTGAAAAAACACAACATCAATCATTATTCCACGTACTCTGTAATGAAGTCATCAGTTGTCGAGCGATTCAATCGCACATTAAAAACGATATGTGGAAGATATTTACACTTAACGGAAACTATAAGTGGATCAATGCGCTGTTACAGCTTGTATCAGATTATAACACGCGCAAGCATAGAACGATCGATATGCGACCCGTCGACGTTACCCCCCGTGATCGCTGAAAAACTCTTGGCCACAGTATACAGCAACGTAAAGATCGCGGGTCCGGCAAAATTCAAAATAGGTGATTCGGTACGTGTGAGCAAATATGAAACCGTCTTCGAGAAGGGTTATACACCAAATTGGACCACCGAGGTGTTTAAAATCGCTAAAGTGTAGCATACTCATCCCGTAACCTATCTACTGGACGACTATCGCGGAAAATCTATCTCTGGAGCGTTCTATGAACATGAGTTACATCGCGCGGTTTATCCGGACGTGTATCTCGTGGGGAAAGTATTGCGCAGGAGAGGTGACGAGGTTTACGTAAAATGGTTGGGATTCGATGTATCGCACAATTCTTGGATACACAAGGATAATATAATTTAATTCATACAAACTGTATTTTTTCATATAAATTATATTTATTTTAAACATAACAATATATAAAAAATGTATGAAATGCATAAGATGTATAAAATATTTATTATTTATACTCATCTTTTTCAATTTGATGTATAAAAAATCGTTAAAAAATCTTTATTTTTTACTATAAATGTAATACTATATACAGTAATTATTTAAGGTTATACATTTCGATAATATAATACATTTCTATAATATAATTACATTACAGGACCTTTTTTTTACAAAGGTATTCGATAATGTCCCCATGGTAATGTTTTGATTGAATTCGATATGATGTATCGTTTGTCGTCGTACGGACTTAGAGCGATTTTCTCAGATATCGTATATACTTGATGTAATTTTGATCTTATGCATAACTGTTGGCGAGTCATTTCAATTTCATCGTTTAAACTTCGGGTGTAATCATCGAACGTTATAGTTCGCTCTACGTTACTTTTGATACCTTTCGCCTTTATCCTTTTTACCATCCACCTTCAACGCATACATTTTCGCTCTGAGTCCGACGAATTCATTCAATATTGCGTCATTATTTTCGTCCTTCATTAAACCTGGCACTTTTTTGTTTGCAAGTGGTATACCATACACATTATCAGTAGAATAATCACTCGTGTCAAACCTAGTGATATCACGCTTCATTTGATCATAAACGTCATCACACTCGATGCGATATATGAGGCTATCAGTGTCTGTGTACATAATTTTACATTTTTTGCGATACAGCGGTAACATATATTCGTGGTGAAATTCATACAAACAGATCTTTGATATATCGAGTATACCCATTCCTACGTAGATCGGTTTGTTGAACTTCACCTCAAGTTTACGAATTTCAATTTCTATCAGATTTTCAGAAAATACACTTCTGCTGTGAAAATTCGGCTTCGCGATCATTGCCTCTGCGCCGTATCGTCCATCCCATTGTGTTAATAATTTTACATCGATGTGATTGCGCACGTTCTCCATGGTTTTGCCGAATACTGTAGTATTCATTAACTTAAATAAATTTTTCTCAAAATCATTCTTCGCGAGCATTCTAAATTTTGTATTAAGTTCTATGTAATCGCGAAGCCATGGTGACTGTGCGAATAGCAATACGCGATGAATCTTTGTTACATGAAGACCGTGACGCATGCATTGCTGTAAATTGCGATAATGTATAACGTAACGTTTTTTGTCATATACAGTCGCTAAAAGTTTATCCTACCACTTGCCAGGTGGTTTATCACGCGTTGGACAGAATGGTAGATCAATGTGCTCGTCGTGCAGACGCTCCGGATATTCAAAGTCAACCTCAAGAACATAACCTGTAAGCGAATCCTGAACAATCGCGTTAAAGTTCCAGACGTTTTCGACCCATTGAAATTTGGCGTATGGCAACGGTTGACACATCGCCCATCCGTATAGATTATTAACATAGAGGTACATCAAGTACGTAGAAGGTTCCGATGGGTCGTACGACTGCATATATTTGTTACTGGCTCACGCGGGGGTGATCCCGATTGATCACGGCTCGATTGGACACCACCAATTACAGCGACCGGTGCTTAGGAGCTTTGTAGTCTCAAGCGCTGTGAGTGGCTCGTATCCAATTGAGCAGTGTCCAACTGGGTGCCACTCGCTCACGCGTACCTGCTGTAACATTGACTAAGACCGCCGTGTATACCGCGCTCGATAAACATCACCATATCAACGTCAGTGAGCAGTTCGAAATTTACGCGTGTATGTTTCAACATAGCGTCCCACGTAAAACCTGGTAAAGTATAATAATACGCAGGGTCGAGGCCGTAACTTTCAATACATTTATCGTGAAAATTTTCAAAAATGTCAGCAAACAGCAACACGTCCATTTTTAAATATAGATCGCTGTATTCACCTAAGGTTTGAACAGAGAACTGTTGCCAAACATTCACGTTATGCGCGTAATCGCTTTCGGATAGTGTCACCGGTCAATGAACTGTAGAATGACTCGCGAGGTGGTAAACGCGTATCCTGCAACTTGTCGGCACAATCAATGTATTCGTATGGAAAAATCCCTTTTCGTATCAGTAACTCAAAATCATCTTCGGACAAATTTTGAAATTCGCATTGTGAAATTCGAAGTTCATTTTTATTAAGAAAGGATGCTAATTCGTCGAGACTAGTACTTAAAAATTTATAAGAATCTATGAACCGTAATTTTATGTTATTTCGCGAATCTGATCTTTCAGCGGTATCTTTAACATTTTTTGTAAATAATATATATTTTTCCTTTGTTATTGCTATCAAGTAATTCTATACTGTTTTCATATGCTGTAGCTATTTCTTTGATAATAAAATGTGAATGATAGCCTGATAAATTGTGGAAAACTATGGGAATAAAATATGAGTTTTTATTATTTAAATTGCAATTTGAATACGCGGGATCCCTGTAACGACCGGTTGAATGGCAATGATCGCTTACTCGATTATCATCTAGCGCGAAAGGCTTTTCACACACGTGACAATGCGTCGCGCTGTGCAATGTCTCTCGCTGTTCGCTCGACAAAGTTTCCATGGGGACATTAGCTACTAAAATTTTTTTTACGCAATGTGCTAAACTTCTCAGTTTTTCGACGAACCATGAAACGCAATCCGGATCACGACGAAATCCATATTTTGATAGCGAATCGTCGTACGAACAGCGCACGTAGTATCCTATGCTAAATACTTGATGATGATGTTGATACGTGAGCGTAGATTCATCCTGATCGCTATCAGTTTTCTCGAGGATGCATTCTAGATCAGCGTAAACAACAAATGGAACTCGTTCCTTCCTATTATAGTTGTTAAAGTTCAGCCACTTGTCGTTGTAGCTCGGTAGTCGGATAGCGCAATCGTTTATCCGTTGGCAATCTACAATGTGTAACTGCAATTTCTCATTGGAATGAAAACAGTTACAAATAAAAAATAAATAACGGTTTTTTTATTTTATTATTTTTAAGAAGAATTCGCTTTTGTTAATCATATACTTACCGATCGCAAATGTACTTTTGGCCGTTATGTTTATTCAGTTGCATGCTCATGAGCCGAGATAGATTCTTGATCCATGCGAAATGGCCCACATTGTCGTCTCGCGGATCTCGCAAATATAGTAAATTGAAATGTTTCTCTTTCAATATCATCGATTTCGATAGCAGCCAGATGTTGGCGCTCAATCGATTAATTATGAAACTTGATCGTATTTAGTTATTTAAAATAATTAATAAATGTCGTTTCTAGAAAAATTACATTACGCTATATCTTGGTCGAAAAACGGTTGGAGTATATAACGGCGAATAACCTTTGTAAAACTTTTCGTTTTTTAAATATTTGTTTTTTGTATTGTTTTTTGTTTATGGCAATATTTTCTTTTTTTGTAATGTTTTTTGTTGGCTTGTACGTGACTGCAGTCCCCAAAATCTGGGATGCCTTACTGCCACTTCGCATGACTCATACCCCGCCACCGAAGAATCCCCCGCGCCCCGCATTCCCCTTGGATTTCCCGTGTTAAAACTCTCATAGTATTACTCTCCGAAGATTGAAGGACTGGATTGTGAGTATCATGATTTGATAATAGATTTATCGCGTCGAAATTATCTGAGTCTGAATCGATCGAATCGTTCATCGTCGTTTCAAGAGTGTTTGGTTTGTCCATCGGATTTTTCGCGTTATTATTGATGAAAATCCAGATTCTCTTTTGTTTTACATCGTCGATTTCGTTCTCGTTAAAAGTGACGTTTCTCGAGATCGAAATGCGTTTGGTTCGCGTGTCTAGTAGTCTATAGTTTCCGGAATCCTTTTCGTAACCGACAAAAAGTATTTTTTGTGACTTAGGGTCCCATTTTTTACGTAAGGCATGTGGAACGTGTACGTATGCGTCACAACCGAACATTCTAATATGTAATAAATCGGGTTTCCTTTTTAAGTAGATTTCGATCGGTGTTTTGCCACCTGAGCGCGTGGATACTGTTCTATTTAATATTTAGACTGCCGTGTTGACGGCTTCACCCCAGAGATTTTTAGGTAGATTTCGTGCTAAGAGCATAGAACGCGCACTTTCCACGATCGTGCGCATTTCGCGTTCGTTCTGTTCCGGCGTGTGAGATGCGGATGTAAGTAGCTTTATACCTTCTTTTAGTAAACTGCAAACGTTCGAATTAATAAATTCCGTACCGTTGTCGGCTCTTAAGATTTTTATATTTTTACCGAATTGATTCGCTGTTAAGTTGAGGAATTCTTTTAGATAATCAAATACATCATTTTTGTGCGTTAAAAAATAGACCGTTTTAAATCCCGAACACTCGTCTTTGAGGAATAAGAAGAATTTTGCTCAGCCGATTGATGGCGTTTGCATTGGGCCACACACGTCGACGTGAACGATTTTGCCGGGCGCAATATCACTTTCGTGCGTAGTTGAAAACGGTAATCTCGCTTGTTTGTCCAATGAGCTGTACTCGCAGAAAAAGCTTTTCTTATCTGATAAGTTTATTCCGGTAGTAGAGCCGTTTGTTATGATCTTTATAGTTACAGATCTTAAGATAGTTACAGTTTATGTGACCGAGACGTTTATGCCACGTTTCTAGAGGTGCTGAGGACGCGTAAAGTGCCGACATTTTTTATTTCTGCTTAATTAGTAGGCGTATTAGATTATTTTTCTGTTAACGTCGCGTGCTACAATTTGTTTGTTTTTAGAAAGTATATCCGCGCGATTATCCTTTAAGACAATTGATAAACCGATCGACATACATACGCCGGTCGAAAAGAGGTTCTTTTCTAAGCACGGAACATATAAAACATCGTTGATTTCACCATCATGCCATTGATTACACAGGCCTGCATGGTTTTGTTGATTGGGATTTAACTATGTTTTCTTACGTAATTTTTCGCGCTGAATCCGAATCCGGCGGCAGAATTGCTCTATCACGTCAGGTTTTTGAGAAAAAGTGAGGTTAAAGGTGTTAAAATTGACATTTTTTGACATATTTGTGATTTTTTTGCTAGCGAAGTAAATTTTTTTTTTCTACTTTCGTTTACGCCATCTGAAAGTGTCAACATTTATCTTCAAAATATATTTTTTTTAACGCAGTACTTTTTTTTTCACCGAAATAACGTCTGTGTAGTACAGATTAGGCGTCTACGAGATACAATTTATAGAAATTTCAATTGCTATATCTCCGGAAAAAAAATCGCTTTGGGACGGTCCAAAATGGATTTTGAAGGGGCTGTATAGTAGTAAATGATACCATCGATGGATTGGACGACAAAAATTTTATCAATTTTTAATTGAATTTCAAATATGGCTGAAAATGGCTTATTTGGCTGTTTTGGGTTAAGATTTCTCGAAATCTCGACGTGATAGAGCAATTCTGCAGCCGGATTCGGATTCAACGCGAAAAATTACGTAAGAAAATATAGATAATCTCTGCGTAATCACACAAACATTTTGTGTCAAAAATGTTTTTCTTTGTGTGACTACACAGAGATTATCTCGGTGAAAAAGAAACGTACGGCGTTAAAAAAAATATATTTTGAAGTTAAATGTTGACACTTTCAGATGGCGTAAACGAAAGTAGTAAAAAAAATTTACTTCGCTAGCAAAGAAATCACAAATATGTCAAAAAACGTCAATTTTGACACCTTTAATCTCACTTTTCTCAAAAACCTGACGTGATAGAGCAATTCTGCCGCCGGATTCGGATTCAGCGCGAAAAATTACGTAAGAAAACATAGTTAAATCTTAATCAACTTTTAACACCTCCAATTTTGCAGGCCTGTGTTATCTATCAATTGGGAAATGAGTATTTTTCCACTTTTAAATTAGTGTTGTCACCGAGACAAACGTTTCGTTATTACACGGTGAGAATTCGGTAAACTATTCTTTTCGACAACAGAGGAGCCTCGAAGCGCCACTATCGAGAAGCCAAATATATTTTTCGTCGAGTTCGAGAAAAGCGGCCAGACTCGGATCGGCTGTATGAGAGGAACTTTCGGTA